GGCTGGTGGGGGGGTGGGTGGAAGGATGCACGGCAGGGGGAATGTGGAGGGGCCACAGCTTGTAGGGACAGGGAGGACGGTGGCCATAGCAGGGAGGGGACACGGAGAGGTGCCTTGGCTGGGGGTGCACACGGTGGTGGGGGCTGCGTGGCTGGGGAGGGTGAGTGGTGGGTGTTTGTGGAAGGTGGTGCAGTCCTGGGGGGGTCCCAGTGTGCAGACACGGGACCCTCCTGGTGCCCCCCCCCAGTCACATGCCAGCCCCATGGCCTGGAGCAGATGCTGGGGGGTGCTGGGCTCAGCCCCACTGTGAGCTGGGGTCATACTGGGGGGCCAGCCCTGTGCTGGGAAGGGATGGGGGCCAAGCTGTGTGTCCCGTCCCCCCCTCCTACTCCAGTCCTAGGGAAAAAGCCGGAAAGTCAAAACACCCCTTCGCACACGGAGCGCTCCCCAGGGTGGGGGTACTGGGGCTGCTGCTGCCCCTCACCCCCACTGCCCCCAAGGGGTCCTGGCTGGGCTCCCCCCTGGATCCTCCTGTGCTAAAGCCATGTGCCATGTGCCACCGCATGTCACCAGGGCTGAAACCCAAACCTGCTGCCCTGTCCCCCAGCCTGGGTACCCCCCCCTCCGTCCGTCTGTCTGCCTGGGGAGGGCAGCCAGCCAGGCCCCTGCCCGGGGAGGGGGTCTCCAGCCCGGCCAGGGGCTTTCTGAAGGAAAGCCGGGCAGGAATGCGCTGAGCAGCTGCGGCCTGGGTGGCCGTCCCGGCCTGTCATCCATTGTCCCCAGCCCCATTCTTTCCTTTCAGAGGGGAAAAGAAAAGAGGAGGGGGTGGCCGAGGTGGAGACCCCTCCCCAGCCAGGGCAGGAGAGGTGAGGGGGCAGCTCTTGCAGCTGGGGGGGGAGCGTTGGGCTCCTCTGGCTGCCATGACACCCCCATGGCCACATCCTGGAGCAAGCGCAGGGCAAGGGGGTCCCACATCCCCCCTTGCCCCCCAGGCATGTCCCAGCACATTCCCAGCACAGCAGCGGGGCTGGGGGTCAGTGCTGCCGGGGGCTGGGGGTCCCCGGGGTGTGGGGAGCAGG